CATCATCGTCATCATCAACAACACCACTACTACCATCATATATCATCATCACCGTCATCACAACCTCCTTAATTCTACTTGTTTTTACTAATCGCAGTGTCTTTTCTTTAAATATTTTTTTATCATTTGAAGTTTTTTCGGTTTCATTCAAAATTGTTTTCTTAAATTATAATGGCGTCAGTTTTCTATTTAAACATTTAAATAAGTTACTAAAAAAAATTAAAAGCAATGACTTGAAAATTACGAAATCAAAGGAATTGCAAAAAATAATCATAAAATAAAATATCGTATAAAGGATCTTTTAGAACAAGTATGAACATGTACCGATCAATTCTCGTAGACAGTTAATAATACTATAGTGTAGCGCGTCACCAGACTGAGGCCTGGGACGAGCCTTAGCTGACGTCACGAACCTCGCGWTCCAATCAGAAACGATTAGGAAATTGAGAAGTCGATTTGGAAAAAATSGAGATATTTACAAAATATCAATAATTAAGTGTTGCAACACTTTTTTTACAACTACATTGTCGGTTTTAAACCCAGCTAGCGCAGAACATGCGCAGAAGTGTTGTCTCTAYGTTGTCGTAGCAACGGGTTTTAGAGGTTAACCAGTCGTCTTCACGTGCAACATTTCTTGTAATGTAATACTGTGCTGCTACTCTTCCAACACAGGAAACCCATATGATAGTTTCTTTTCATATTAATCCACGACAAATAGGTACCATCAACATTGAGATAATGTAACTCATGCATAATTAATGGTTGTTTCCTATCACGTGATAAGTGCACATGTCATGTGATTGACACTCACAAGCTCACTTGAACAGAGCCTTGATTTCTAGAACCTGCCTTATTTTACGTGACAGTCACGTGTTTCGCTCCTTCAATCACTTCACAGCTTGGTGGACTGACTTGTTCTTGAGGTGGAATCCGTGACAGTCAAGTGTGTGTCACTCCTGGTTGATGTGTTTTCAGGTCCAGTGGTAGAAACGTGATTTGGGTTAACTGCATTAGTAGGACGAATAAGATAGCTAGAAAATAGAAAAAAAAAGTGAAATATAGCTAGCTTTATTCATTTATAAGCAATATTTTTACAGGGCCGGGCAGTTCAATAGATCGTTTTCTCAAGGTTGCGTGCGCATCCAATCTTGACGGGTCACAAAACTGAAAAACGCAAATATAGTAAAATTGAGAATGCAGTTTTAGAAAAAAATCTTATTGAAATGTATGATAATTCGAGTTCGAATTTGAGTTTTTTTAAGATTGGACGCGCGCGCAACCGTGCAAAATGAAAAAAAGTCCATTCTAGCTTTTGCTGGTTTAAATATGGAGGCCTGTGTTTAAATGGAGGCCTGTGTTTAAATGGAGGGCTGTGTTTAAACGGAGGCCTAGTCAATATTCCATGTTGATTCCACAGTTATAATTTCTAGTTGCGCGGGTGTAAGAGTATAAATACAACTTACATTATATCGCCCTCTTGTAATTCCAGYTCAGGTACAGGGTTCACGATGACGAACGATACTCCGGGTCTTTTTCCTGTATCAGCTRTACATGCGTTTAAGGAGAAATAATCATTAAATAGATCAACGTAAAAATGGTGTTTTATAATACAGAATGATGACGGTACAGACGGTACACATAAGGTGAAGGTGGGTAGGGGGACTTAGCAACTGCTGACGTCATAATMCTTACGTTGTTCGCTCAGCCCAAGCTGTTTCATTCTGTTTCCTATAATATCATGTATATCRCGCTTTTCGAACTTAGTCCCTCGCGGACACGAGTCCTCCACATCCTTTAAGAGAGAGTATATAACAAAGTTACTTAGATACGCGACAATTTAATGGTTTTTTTTCTTTTCTCTCTCATGAAGCTTGCATCCCAAAAGACAGCAGAGCACTTTCCCAAAACATTCCCATAATGCACTGCAACTCAAACTCGATCCAGGTTTTCCTCGACCTTGAAATGGCTTATAAGTAATAATAATATCCACGCTGATTGGCTTTTGAAAAAAAATTATTTTCTTACCTCGCTTTGTTCGTGATGTGTTCTGTAAATTCCTATCGGTACCTCACAAGTCGTTGAACAAAGACGCTGAAACAACCTGCCGTACGTCTCCARCCACAGATGGTCATTTGTGACTTTGAACTRAAAAAGCATTCAACGACAAACTTCAAATTTTATCAAACTCTAAAGGTCCAAGCACACGTTGCAACATTGCACGTAATACTGTAGGCAATGTTGCTGAAGTAGGATAGTTTTCTACTTCAGTAACTTTGAGTGTAACAAATTGCGTCGTGTGTCATGGCTCGCAACATCAATAGTCCCCTTCACGGTTTCCTGCGCCATCTTGAAAGGTAGCCGTGCCTTTGCATCGAAGCGAGACGAACGGTGAGCTGGCAATGATAGAGACCTGTGAATAATTGTCCAAGGTGTTAAAAAGGTCTCTATCATTGCAAGCTTACCGTTCGTCTCGCTTCGATGCAAAGGCACGGCTACCTTTCAAGATGGCGCAGGAAACCGTGAAGGGGACTATTGCATGCAACATTGCGCGCAATGTTGCACCTTGCGTCCGTAGCTTAATTAAACAACCTCTGGGCTGATCTAAGTCAGGGCACGGCTAACTCACAGATGAAACTGGTATTTTGTAAGTGAGGAAGACTGGATAGCCCGGAGAAAAACCCTCCAGTCAAAGGAGATCCCTAACAAACTCTACTCAAATTCAAGTCCGACCCTCTCCACCCATAGGTATTTGTAGTGCTGCACGTGACGTACCGAACACAGGTATCCCGAGCCTGGTGCTTGTTCACATCCGAGAAGAAGGCTTATCAAAGTGATCATGTAGTCTTTGACAAACGTCTGTAACAAATAATAAGTAATAGATAAATAAATAAATGGTTAATTAATTAAGTATATACATATATATAATGTCACACAATAGTAGAAAATGTGTGACTTTGAAAACTATCACTATTGATGGTTTTCACAGCCGCCATGTTGGATGAATTTAACAAAAGATTCGTGATTAGTCTCTTTTGTTACATCATCCAACATGGCCACCATGTCTTGTGTTATTTCATTCTCTTGGAATGATTGAAAACCAGCAATTGATACCTGGAGCTAGATTTTATTTCAACATTTGTTACTCATGGTGAATTAATGCGTACCTTGTCACGCATGTATAGGACTGCGTGATTTATTTAAAATGTGACATTGTGTCACGCAAGGAAAGACTTTGTTGTCACGCATGGTGAACGTTTATTATTGTACCTYGTCACGCATATATAGGACTGCCTGACAGGTTAAAGATGTGAGACTGTATCACGCAAGGGAGTACGTTCTTACCTGATAGAGCAAGGTATCCAACATACTCATACTAAACACATAACCAGCTGCRAAMGGTTCACGGAACATGTAGTTCAGATGGTCTTTCTTATTCTGTTCTTTCAACTTTCGCTATTGATTATCGAACAGAAAGGAAAAGTTAGTGCTGCGCACATTATTGACCTCTTTAACTTGGGCGTAATRTTTCCCCATTTCAGACCACGTGTAATTCCCTAGAGTATTACTTCTTTGTTTAACGGTTGCGCATGAGAAGACACATGAATATGGATACAACTCAAACAAAGAATCTTATTTTCAAGGGAATGACATTATGGTCTGAAATAGGAAAACATTACAATCCAATAAGTGTAAAGAGGTACATATAGCCAAACCACGCGGTCCTTAAGAGCCGGATAGACGGAATGCATGAAACTGAAATTAAGTGAAGAACGATGACAAATATTGGGATAAATACCTTTACACTTTCACGCAGGCTGGCCATTGATTCTGTACTGGTATTCGTCTGATCAGCTTTGAACTGCATGAACCTCATGTTGGTAGCGTGTGTTAGTTCAACGATCAATGTTGCAGCTGGAAACAGCCTAGGATAAAAAGAAAATAAATTTCAAACATTTTTCCCCCATCAAATTCAAGGCATGTACATTCAAGTCCGCATGTGTCTTCAAAAGTTTCTCTTATTTATTCCACCTACTTCCGCTTTTTTTTCTCTCTTCGTTTTCCTCCTTTGATCGCATTCGTTAGCTTTAATGGCCAAAAAGCCATTTTCAGAACATCGGTAAGTCGAACTTATTTACATAGGTGCTTCTACAGCGTGAGGATGATGGTGGGGTTCTTTGGGCCCTCCCACATGGATACGCCCCTGCATCCGACATACTGAACGATTCCCTTCCTTCCTTCCCTCCTTTAATCATCGGTCATCAAGTCAAACRCAAAGTACAACGTACCTATAGATAGTCTGTACACCTACAATAATGCTTGCATCTGCCATGTGTTCTTCATCATAGAACTGACTCGCAAATCTCTGTCCTACTACTACTATACTATCTGCAGTAAGGCAGCCCGCTTGGAGGAGACTATCCAGGCTAGAAATGAAGAAGAAGCCAGTAAGTTATGAGGTAATTCGTCCTTTACAAGATCATAGCTTTTAGAACCCTGAAATAAAAACGAGCCTAGTTCCAGGAAATGGTAGACTTACAAAGTAATATGTAATCTACCTTTTCTGAGTTCGATAATCCTGGTCTAGTTTGGGTACAAACAACACCCAAAATGCATGACGAATGAATGATGTTTGCACCTAAGCAAGACCACAATGCACCAATGTCCGATACCTCAGAAAACTAGTAGGACTGAACATGAACCCGAAAAATCAAACGTGGGACACTAAGGGCCATAAGACACATTATCCATTCTCCAGCAAATCAGAATATGAGGCTGATGCAATGATCATAGACTAACCTATTTATTGTTCCCGTCATGTAGTATAACATTGGAAAATGGCACACAGCTTCTAGGAAATCTTCATTTGGCCTTYAAATAACAAAAAGATTGGTTTAAGTTTTGTTGATTTTGAAAAGATTATCTGCTATTTGGGCGCAGTACAGCTGCACGCGAGGCAAAAACCGTTTGAGGATTGCACGCACACAGATTCGACTCTCGTAACGTGGAAAGTCCATCGAACATTTGCATAAGAAAATAAGGCYTATTGTTTTGTCCCCCAGAGCAATTCCTCTAGGAAATCAATGCAAGAGGTCTATACTTACTCTTCTCCCAGTAGAAGGATGATAGGTTTTAAAGTGATCTTTGGWCGATGATAAGCTCGTAAGGGAAGAATAAAGTTATACAATCCTGCTTCGGCCACTGGCGATGATACGATGATACCGCCACGCTGCTGATGTTGGATGCGCACGTGGTCGTTTGGATCTCTATGAGCACAATCCTGCAAAAGAAAAAAGAAACAAAATATTATCTTTACACATTTACACATGCGCAGAAAGTGATGCTTAGTCTCCCGAGGCACAGTCCTAACACCAGAAAAGCAGTTTCATTTAGGGGGGCGATGGAAATTGCTTGACTGTTAATAGAACATTTCGTACAATACCACTGTGCTCTTTGACTCATTTATACAGGGTTAACTTCAATTCAGCGTTACAATATTCACAAATGCCAAAGTTAAGTGAAGAATGCATAACTTCAACCATAAAAACACTTTGACATTACAYGGATCTTCACTGGAACATATGAATATTCTTTACAAAATCGAGGCTAAATCTGAGCAAAAAATAACTCGAAACTGGAGTATTCTGATTGTAAGATTTCTTTTCTGTCAAGGGCACTCTTGAGCGCTGTCATTCTTTCTGAGCATGCTCGACAAAATGTCCTGTCATGCGCAGTAAGAGCAACAAGACTCTGGGGTCCACGAACAATACAGACAAACAAAACTGACCTCGTACAGTTTAAGGCAGCATCGGGGTTTRGGTATTTTAAGTAGATGACATCGCATGGGAGTACGTCCAATGTATGGCGAAACAGGAAGAACTCCGATATGATAACTGTAACAAAAGGCAATGGAAAACAATGGAGGACAAACCTTTGATCTAGGCAAGAACTGATGAGGGAATTTGAAAAATGATTTTATAGTAAAGAGACTCACAGAATCGTACAATATTTCTTCTTCACAAAATACAGGCTTTGCACCATCAGGTGCGGGCGCCCATAATACAGCTTGGACTGCCTGTGGTTAGATGGCAGAACAATAAAATCCCTTTGCGCTTGGGAATTGAATTCTTTCTCACGTAAAACGATTGTGTTGTTCCTGACATCTGACATGGCTGCCATCACGTGATGGTGCAAACCCTCTACTGGGTTTTGATGAACGTCAATCAAAGTGTTTCAATGACATTGTCGCAAAACACGTTTTTAGGGATTCGTGCCTATAGGATGTCAGGGCAGTGCTTTGACTGTAAAATTTATTCTTAAATTTATTTTTTAAGTTTATAAATGCTTACTCTGGTATTCTACTTGGCATGTCTTCCATCTCAAGCCCGGTCTCCGATTCCATATCCGATTCATCAGGTACAAATCCCGTAGTAGATATAGACGATCTCCTGGAGTCACCGATATCAAAGGTCACTTCTTTCCCTCGTCCTTGACTGCTCTCTGGATTATCGACCAAATCAATGCCATCTGTTTCGTTATTATCCTCGTCATCTTTGGGGGACTCTATTTCAACCTCGACTTTTGCAGGGGTTGAGTATTTGAGTCCGTTACTAGGATGTTGCTGGAGCTGTTTCATGCGATTGTTTTCGGCAACTGGTGAGAGACAAAACGAAATTTTTGTTCATCTTCCTCATGCTCTTCCCTTCTTTATTTCTATGACTTTAAGAAGGCATTCTCAAGCTCAAACACAACGAAAGAAAAGAAAGAGACAAAACGAAATTTTTGTTCATCTTCCTCATGCTCTTCCCTTCTTTATTTCTATGACTTTAAGAAGGCATTTTCAAGCTCAAACACTTTACGCAAGCGCTTTTGAACAAGAACATGACGCATGCGCAGATGCGCATGGTAAACGAGTAACGCAAACTAAATTAGGGCGCACAAAAATGTAAAAAGAACATGTTAGATGTCGTGATTATCATGCCAATAAGCGACAAAACCCATTAAACAGGAACTTCAAGGCAGCCATGATGGTGGACAAAAAATATTTGTTCCCTTCAGAAAATGATATCTCTTTGCATGTAAAAACATTGCAGTGTTTCTCTCTTACACCAAGGTTGCCGTAATCACCCCCTCTTTACACTTGAATGGCTTCTTTCTTTCTCTAGCCAACCAGTATTCAAATACTCACCATCTCCGTATCTTTCATTTCCACTGTAACTAGTCTCAGARTGCAACTCCAGTGCAACTGAACTCGCAGTGATAAAGGATTGGTTTCTTAACCGCTGACTGCTTAACCGGCTGGATTTCTTGGGCTCTTCGTATTTTTTGAACGCCGTGTCTTCCTCGCTTGAGATGGCGATATACAAACAGCGGTCTTCGTAGTTCATTATATGAGAAGGGCCTGGGTTGAGCATGACGCGCGAATTCTTCCCAGTACGACGTACGCCTATAAGAGTGACACCGTACCTAGGATAGACCATAGTCACGTGTTAGTATGTACTAATATGGAAACAACAGCACCACGTGAGTATTTCCTTATGTGGAATTTTCCTCCATGTCACGTGTTTCTCACTTTATGTGGAACTCACAAAGTCACGTGTTAGATGGAACCTCCACCAGGWCACGTGTTAAATGCAATGTACTTGTTTACCAATCATGTATCCAATACCATATATAGAATTTCTAAATACTAATATGTYAAATAAACGTTTTACCACCAAGTCATATGTTTCATCAGGTTTTCCTGGACCTGGTGCATGTGACGTCATAGCTCTATAGACGCCATATTGGTTGACTTGATTTTCGTGTCTTCGTCGTTATGTCAACCAACATGGTAGCCATATCTTTTGTCCTTTTAGTCTCATGGGAAGGTATGCACCCCACCAATTGGAGACCGCACGATAATTTTTCTAATTTTTAGGGAGMGATCATTCTTAAGAATTAAATAACAAAAGACAAAAGTCATGGCCGCCATGTTGGATGACATAGCAAAAGAATTTAATTTTAGAATTAATTGATAACTCAACCCAACATGTCTAAGTCTCCCTCCCCTCCCCTCCCCTC